TTCAATTATTTACTAATTCTAAGTTAAATTTTACTTTCTCATATAGAATGGGCGAACGAAAGCGAAGGAATTTAAGTTATCAACGTCAAAATGTCAAAAGATGACTCCCTCAAAGCACAATCGCCCTGATAGCACAATCGCGTGCAATTCTAATACAAGTTGTTTCAAGTTTACTTGAAATTGCCAAATTGTGTCAGATTGTTTTGTGTCTATTGCTGAAATTTATATCGTTTCTTATGCAAGATACTTTTACAATACTTGCATCAGACTTAACTAAAAGTACTTGTACCAAAGGGGTGAATTAGTATAAGTCAAGTACAATATGTCTTACTTAATTCTAATGTAAGTCTGCAACAGCCACTTGCTTTAATTTACCCCTTTATTCTCAAGTGCCCTGAATCAAATCCATTGAAAGCTTTGATCAAGACAATTGCACAATGAATCTTGCAGTAAACCTGATGCTGATTTCAGCAGTAGGTACACAGCAGTCTTGTGTCTTGTGCAAGATTTTGCTACCAGGGCAACCTTTTTTGGCATCGGCACTTCTTTCGAGGAAACATTTATTTGGAATTAGCGAGGAAATTACTGAGCCGGTTTCATTTTCACTGGGCGATAAACTAAAAATACTGTCACTACCTACTGCAATTTTATTTTTAGTAGATACCTAATCTAAAATCAGCAACATTTATTCAAAAAGTGAAAATCAATATTGCCTGCGGTAGTGAAGATAAAATGCAGTCGTCATAGAATATCTACATATTTTTTAGATGGAAATTTTCCTTACTACGAAAATATTTCGTCAATATTTATGATACTTCCGGATCTGAGGAAAACATTTCACTTAGTCTAAGTCTAAGCTAATTTTAGTTCCAGTAACCTTTACTGTTAATAACTCTTGAAGTAATCATTTTCCGACCAAAGCAAGCAAAACAAATTACTTGAAGAACATGTGGTAACTGGTACGCCTATCTCAATTTTGTCGCGGGAAAAATTCTACCGGCAAATAAAATATTTAATAAAAAGTGATCATGTTAATATAATCTGGCAAGAAATAAATATCAAATCTATTAAGAGAACGATTGCAATGCGCTTTCAGTCATCTCTTTAAAACATCGATAATGTATCTGTTGTCAGGCTTGTTGCCAGGATACACAATTTGTTGATTACAATCGAAAATCGAGACCATGAAAGCACGGTATTATCTGTACACCATGCAACTGTGTAATGATTTATAGACTTATACAACCAATTATTTTCCCTACCTAAACATTCAGGATATAATTATTATTTAAACGAAGAGGCACAAGTGTTGGCAGATTATCAAACTAAAATCAGATGAATAGGCCAAATAGACTTTACTCTTAAGTTGTTTCATTTGCGAGTTATAAGACTGTTTGTGTTGAAATTATAGAAAACCTTTTTGTCTGTAATTATGAAACGAATCAACCGATTATCTTCAAATCTGGCATGGGGTATATACTTGTACAATTCTCTTATGTAGCTCATACAACTTGCAGTCCAGTGATATATTATCAGAAATTGCGTCCAATAATTTTGGTGAATTCCAGCCTTGACAAAAGTCGTATGTGAAAGAAATTCAGATGTCGTTTCTGGCCATTGTTAACGATCAAACATTGTATCTTTATTCATAAATGCTGACATCCTTTTTTAGTAATGTAGTCCATAACAATATTTATGTCCTAAATATGAATTAATTTTGGGTGTCTAATAGAAAAATGTAAAACCCGTTGGAAACGTTGAAGATGTGTATTGGAAGAAGCAGAAAATAAAACAAGATGTTCTGCGGCTAAGTTCATGAACGGACGGGCTTTCTTACAGAAATAGTGTCGTATTGCTCCACATTCCCTTTGCGTTTCGAACATTTCGGCTTCACGTTGGGCGCCATATCGTATTACTCCATCATTAACTCGGGAATTACTCCTAATATGTTCCATTGGAGGCAAGGTAGATTCCTAGGAATGTGGACAACGATCTAATTTGTTTTGTTGCCTTCCACTCTGGTAACCCTCGGGATGATTTTCTGGAGGCTTTTAACTGAGCCTTGATGTACTAACGTTTTGGGCTTCACTTCGAGTATTCTGGTGTTTATATCACCAGAGTTTATGTAGGCTTTTTTGAGTACTTACATATAATTTGGGCAGCTTCTAGTTCACTTTATCCCTTGAGATCTTCACCGCAGGATTGCACAATGCCTGGGTGGATGAAGCACTAGAACTTAGACCTATGTCGGAAGCAATGATCTCTCAAAATTTTTAATTTTTTTTAACAAAACAATTATTAAAAATGGGTTTATTGTTAAATTATGTATTTATGACAAACGGATAATTGATTATTATTGATCTGCAGAGGCTTTATACAATGTAAAGTGGCAATAATTTAAAACGTACTACATATACTGGACAGATTCCGTTCCTGGTTAATGAACGGTAAGGCATCAGGATAACATTCGATCACAGTCCTTGATCGGTCCGCTGAGGTCCTGCAGTGAAGTCCGCTTTAGTCCGAAATTCGAAACTAAGGTGAATTTCCTATTTTAGTAGCAGCGCGACAGCATTGGCGGTGACATCTGCTGAGGGTTCAGTGCGGTTGGAAGCTTAGAAACTTTGGCGAAAATTTTTGGAAACTTAGTTGAAAATGTTAGTTTCTGCGAACATATTATGCCTCTACTTTGGCCGGAATTCGCTCTACATAGAATGGTTAGAGACGGCTTCGTGTCGTGGTTCCGACTGGAAAGTTGAGTTGAAATTTGTAGTCCTCTCGGGACTTGGAATAGGACGAAAATAGAAAAATGTAATAAGTAAATACGTTTTTTAATTCATCTAATATTATTTTGCGAATAATAAAGGAATAGAAATATGAATTTTCGCGAATAAATAAATGTTTTTTGCAGAGAATAAAATTCTTCCACTTCCTCGTCTAACAACGCATTGACATATCGTGCATCGTCCATTTCGAAATAATCGCGTTACTAAATCGTTTTTTAAAATCACTGCGACAGTAGGATTTAGGTTTTAAATAATTCTATGTAGAGCAATCGGTGCATGCAAAACATTACATACCATAAAATAAGAGTGAAACGAAGACACATCTGCGATATTAAAAGATGATAAAATTTACTGATATAGTACTTTAATTATAGTTCGATTATTTGTTATAGGAGACACCTAGAACATCTGTTTTATCTTCCTGTAACAATATTTACCGTTTTTATCTCGACAAATATAAAAGATACGCTATCGATTCGATCGTATTTTTTTTAAAGGTACCACCTTGCCTCAACGTGGAAAAAATAGTTAATCTTGGCTATTAGTAATTCTAGGCGTGTTCATGATTTAATGTCTGCTTTTACATTTTTAATGGCAATATTTTATGGAAATAAAATATGTGATCCTTTCTGTATTATTTTTGTATTTTATTATTTCAGGTGTAGTACATTCAGCGGAAATGAGAAATAAGTATCGATCCTAGTTATTAAATCGTTAGAGACTTGTTATGTAGGTTTTTTTTTATACACACTTTTTTCCACATATAATAGTAGACCAATATTTCTCAAAAAGACGTTTAGAAGGGTAAAAGTAAAAAGTTACCGATCAAATAGTGATAATCATCATCATCCCCATAAAATTACCCCTCACACAACAGGTGGGATTTTAATAATAATACTACGAAAATGATGCCTTGAGTTTCTGTTTAAGGTATTGATAAAACATCTTGAGTCTTCTAAGATATTACAAAAAAAATACCATCCCCTTTAGAGGCATACATGTCCCTATTTTCTGTTGTACCTACTATCCAGTAGCAAATCATTTATAATCATATAATCATAATTTAGGCATAGTTATTAAATCATGATTACAAATTAAATAAGAGCAGTCGTCAGTGCCGCGAAAAACAATTACTCCGAGGGCTATTTGCCCCTACCGGCATTGAATTACATTCGCGACACCCAGTACAACAGCTAGGATCGTTCATCAGCTGGTCCCACCAGGCACAGACCGGTTTCGGACTTATTAGTCCTCATCAGTGTGTCTTAGGTAGGACAACCGACAACCGATGAACGATCCAGCTGTTATAAAGTCGTAAACTCCCGACAAGAGGTACATAGTACCTCGTCAGTCAGTCAATGTAAGTCGTCAGTAAGTCTGACGACTTACATTGTGTTTCGCCCTCTATAGGCGACATTCGTGCAATAAAGTACCTGGCAAATTTTAGCAGGTCGCTTCCACCGTAGTATCCATTTGAATGGCATAGTGGAAGTCAGCGCGATAGATGGAGCCTTTGTGCTTCGCGTACTAAATAAGAGCATTTGAAATACACATACCTACCAGCGAGTAAACATAGACTTCTGAGATCGAAATAAGACGATCTCTACTGAGATATTACTCTCTACAAAACGGTTTTTTTACAATATTATAAATATAAAAAGGTTAACACTAGAGATTCTTATTTTTATGGGTAAAATCTCTGAAATATTAGAATGTAATCTTCAAACACACTCTTTTCATTATATTTAGTGCAAGATTTTGCTGTTCTGTTTGTAATTTTATATGACCTAAAATATTTTTATAAGAAATGTATTATAACTATAATGTACATTTAAAAAATGGAGTTGAGAACCTAAATAAATAAAGATATTTGTATCAAGTCAAAAGTTTCATTCTTAAATTGTTTTAAAATTTTATGAAGAAATGTTGTCTGATGGTACCTTATTAAGAGGGCTGTATCTCAGTAGTTGTTGAGTTTTTTCAATAGGTAAATTGGTCTAAATTTTATTTTGAAACCATGAATGGGTTTGAGTGGGTTATTATTATTATTATTCAAATTAAACACTATTATAAGTCAATCACTTCCCTTTTGAAAATACAAGTAAAAATAGAAAAAAATAGAATACTATACACTTTATGACTAAGTTTGAATTAAGTGCATTTTGTTTATAAGTGTTCTTATTTACGAGTAATCAGTATAATTTTTTGTTTCAGCCTTTTCGAGCAGGAGATCATGTCATATGTCCCCGCAGTAGCAGTGGACACCAGATCAGCCAATGCGAATGCGAGAAGCCCCAGGGGTTCGCCACAAGCTTCTCCAATTGCGTCTCCTGGACTAAGCAGGCACCGGGTGCCTGCTCCACACAAGAGAGACTTCGAGGCCAAGCTGAGGAATTTCTACAGGAAACTAGAAAGCAAAGGCTACGGACAGGGTCCTGGAAAATTCAAGTAAGTGCTTACGATGATCCCATCATTAATACCTTTTTAAATGTATAGAATAGTCTTCTCCCTTTCTTTTTTCAAATATTGCCACAATATTCTTGTGACAACTTTCAACAATTAAAACACTTCTTATGCATCACTAATTACTTGTTAATCATTAACATAATTAACAAACTTTTCTAATTAACTTTACTACACTTCATTATAGTACTACAATTGGTAGTGAACACTCCAAACAACTAAATACTGCATCCTTAGAGTCATAATAAAATAACCTAGAACTATAAAAACTAAAATGAAAGTAAAGTAATGTGTCGCTTAACTCTTCCAATAAGAATTTGTGATTTTGCCAGACTACGTGATTTTTGTTCAAACACTCATGTTTTGTTGATGTAATGCAGGTGCAAGAAGCTGATGCTCATTATGAATGAAATGAATTGGAATATCACCGATATTCGTCTTTTGGTCCCTCTTTTAAAATCTCATAGTATTTCAGTCTTCAATTACGTTACAATAATTATACGATTTTAGTTCATTTATCTTCAAGAGGGTGGGTTTTTAATTTCATTCATTATAAATTTTACATATAGAAACGAGTTTATTTGTACACACCGTTCTCAGTTTGTGTACAACCATTGTACAGTCCAGTAAAGATTATCTTAAACGGATTGAACATGAATATATCCTTATGCTTGTTACAGATTACATATTAGACGAGACCATCTGTTAGAAGATGCCTTTAGAAGAATCATGTCGGCTAACAAAAAAGAACTACAGAAAGGAAAACTTTGTGTGGTTTGGGACAACGAAGAAGGACTCGACTATGGCGGACCTTCAAGAGAATTTTTCTTCTTGCTCTCTAGAGAACTTTTTAACCCTTACTATGGCCTTTTTGAGTATTCTGCCAATGATACGTACACAGTTCAGATCTCACCTATGTCTGCCTTTGTGGATAACTATAATGACTGGTAAGAACACAAAAAATCTAAACTTCACATTTTTCTAATTCGGTTCTATTGTTTTAGGTTTAGATTTAGTGGTAGAGTGTTAGGACTGGCCCTGGTCCACCAATACCTTTTAGATGCGTTTTTCACAAGGCCTTTTTACAAAGCTTTACTGAGGCTGCCTGTAGCCTTATCCGATTTAGAGAGCCTCGATTTCGAGTTCCATCAGTCACTGCAATGGATTCGAGAACATGACGTTTCCATGCAGGGGGAACTAGAACTGACGTTTGCCGTAACTGAAGAGGTGTTCGGTCAAGTGTTAGAGAGAGAACTTAAGCCTGGAGGTCGAAACGTACCAGTTACGGAGAAGAATAAGAAGGTAAGTTTAGAATTTTTCGAGGATAACATCACAGGAATTTTCAAAAATAAGAAATAGGTTCACAGTTTTTTTATATGTTAATTAATCAATTTGTTGTTTTAGGAATATTTAGAGAGAATAGTAAGATGGAGGCTAGAAAGGGGTGTATCTGAGCAAACAGAATCATTGGTTAGAGGCTTCTATGAAGTCGTAGATCCAAGATTAGTCAGCGTTTTTGACGCTAGAGAACTAGAACTAGTTATCGCTGGTACCGCCGAAATTGATTTGGTAGACTGGCGACAAAACACCGAATACCGAGGTGGATATCATGATCAACACCCTGTTGTGGTGTGGTTCTGGCAAGCCATCGAAAGGTAGGCATCTTAGGGAAAAATAAACCCTGTCGATCAGTGGCGGCGCATGAACATTGATTTAATGTGTTCTGCTTAGGGTTGTTACATTTGTTGAATTGAATTCCGGGATATTAAGTGCTGGGAGAGTTTCTAAATGGCGTCGCAGGCAAAAAAATTTTTTAATTTTCAAGGTCACGTGTTTTCCTGGCACTTCTGAATTTCAAGGAGCAATCCATTTATACAAAAATACAGATTTTCACAAGAACGATTTTTGAAATTGAAACCTTTTTGAAATATCTATTCATGAATTACTTACTGATGATATAAATAAATTGGAACAAACTAAATTAGAGATGGGAAAATTCCCAAACTATGAAAATTCCTGGAAAGTTTCCATTGAAAATTCCGGAAATTTTCCGAAAATTTCAAAATTTTTTTTTGGATTTGGTATTATGTTCTACATACCTTCAGCTTTCCAAAAAGACCAAATACTTATATACATTTTTATTTATATTGGTATTATATTGGTATTAGTATTGGAAAAATATAAATTATGTATTAATCATTCGTTAGAAAAAATTACATGCTGAGGGTTACAGTACGTAAACACTATACAGTATACAATATTTATCCTTATTTTTTAACAAACAAATAGTAAATACATTAAATAATTATACTAGTTTTAAAATGTAATTGTACTTTGGTTCAACTATCAAAATTCATATTAAATTTGAAAAGGAGGCAATTTATGAGTCTTGTATTGCTCTCTATTATGTAGATTGTAGACTTAACAAAGATTAAAATAAGTAAGTGTAAGTGTTTTCGAACTTATTTGGATAATATGGTCTTCTGGTATTCCGAATTAACCGAAAATATGAAATCGATTTTTTGTGTATGTTCAATGTTCGTAGAAGTTAGAAGTAAAATTGGCTCCAAGTTTACAAATTGTTAGAAATATTCCCGGAAAATTTCCGACGGAAATTTTTTCAGAAACTTTTCAGGGAAAATTTCTCAAGCTTCGATTATTTCTTCCCGGAAAATTTCCGTTTTGGAAACTTTCCGGGACGGAAAATTTCCCATTGCCCATCTCTAAACTAAATACATATATTTTATTAAATTATTGAATATTGCTTATAAACAAAAAAATCGTTTGTGAAGTTTAGCTACGATTCAATGAATTTTAATTTTCCTCCGTGTTTTTTCTTTATCTTTTTATATATATACAGGGTGTATCTAAATAACACCGAAAAAATTCAAGGGGCGATTCTCCGATGAAAATTAATAGGGGTCTTTGGTATAAAATTTTTTGAAAAAACCCTCCCCTGAAAAGTTACGCCCCTCCTAAAATTACAAAAAAAAATTGTTTTTCTTTTTTATCTTCCACGTACATCAAGCTAAAGAAACCAAACTTGGTGAACATTATCTGTCAATAAAACTACACTTTTTGAATTTTTTTCAACCCTGAACTATTTTTGTAAGGGGTTGAAATAATCAACCCCTATGACATTTTTTCTTATAATTTTTTTTTCGATAAAATTTTTTCCTTTTAAAAAATATGTCTAAAAAACCCCATTCATTTACTAACTTTTTGATCTCTTCAAGTTTCTTCGAAAAGTTAAGGATTTATGACAAAAAAAAATAAATGTATTGTAATGTATTTTTAAAAAGATGAGCTGTTTAACGCGAGTGTATTTTGCTGAAAGATCTAGTGGCCTGTTCTTTACAATGGAATTCTTTGTTTAAAAAAATTGTTCTCGATTTTGATGGGGAAATCACTTGGGCTTTCATTTACTAAGTATTTTTCAAAAAGTAATAACACTAATATAGTTACAGAAGTGTAGGATGCGATATAGCATAAGTTGGAGTAACTTATGCTATAGGGATAGGAATTTGCTCATTGCCATCCCTTTGAAAAATAAAAATTTCTACCCGATTGAAATAGAAATTACCAAACAAACGGATGGATATTTTATCATTGTGCCACTTTCACACAGAAGAATACATTATGTATTTTCGTTACTCACTCACTTGCGATTTAAAACAATTTATTCCTATTGAAGCCAGTTAATATCTGCTGCAGAAAAGTGTATCAAACTTTGAAAAATATAGCTTTAGATAAAAATTATGGCATAATATTCGAATAAAGAAAATAACCTGAAGTCAAGTAACTCTGTTCATATTGAGCTTTGAGTGTCATTATTTTTATGAGAAAAATTGCCTCCTGAATTTATTGCCTATAGTTTCTGGACAGCCTGTATCAGTGTAAGTACCAGTGGTGGCTCTGACATTGAGAATAAGTGAAGCATATTCATTGATTGACTAAAAAGAAAAAAATTTTAATGAATCTGGAAATTTTTACTTGCATTTACAATATTACGAAAAACTGTAATTCGCAAGGATTTTCATTTAGATTTTATAAAAAATAGAAATATTTATTCGGCTCGTAGACTTAATGATGGGTAGGTACAGGTTTCTACTTAATTTTGCGAACATTAACTCACACCGTATATGTTTCAAAGAAGCTTTGTGGTTACAACAGCTCGTGTGACATTCACAAAATTGTTAAATCTCTCCTTATTCCACATGCTCGACTCTACGCCCACAATTAAACACGGCATATAGAAACGTTTTTTTAAATAAAAACTTCCACGCAACCACTTATACTCCTAATACCTTTCTTTCCGAAACTTCCGAACGTACACTTTGTCTTTTAACTTTCCCCTATTTTCCACATCAAGAAACAGCACAGGTCTCTCGCAATTTAAAAAAGCCTTTTTGTTCTCAATTGCCCATCTGGAAAATGGAGTTTCCAATAGAATACATACTGGATCAAATATAGGAAACATTTCTACTATTATTGATACAAAACAAATATTAACAAAGAACCGTTATAATCGTGCACTGGGCGATGTATCGTATAAATTGTTTAAAGGCAGGCGATGGGCGATGGCAATGCTGCTTCAATTTTAGCGTCACTCGTTCCCCCACTCCGTAGTTTACTCCCGTGTTGGCTGCTTCGTTGCCATGACAACCGCCGTAAACAACGCTACGAACTGAAGTGGAATATAAACTGATTTCAATTCGCGTCACTTGCTTATGCTACGTTGTATGGTAACAAAAGGAAAGGTTTTTTAAAAGGCGGTTACCGCGCAACTATATAAAATAAACACAATACATTTCCAATATGGAATTATACCTAAATTATCAAATTTATATAAAATTAAAAATAATTTTAAATTGCACAACCAAACGGAAATTGAGGTGAAGCGGTGCATCACCTGGTGAGCCGCCACTAGTAAATGCATAATGTTTGTGTATAGAATTATATACCTAAGTCAATATGTATTTTATTTATTTTTTGTTCCAGGTTCAGTAATGAGCAGAGGCTGAGACTACTACAATTTGTAACCGGCACATCGAGTATACCTTTCGAAGGTTTCTCTGCTCTTAGAGGTTCCATAGGTCCTAGAAAATTCTGCATAGAGAAATGGGGCAAACCGAATAGTCTTCCAAGAGCTCACACATGTTTCAATAGATTAGATTTACCACCATACCCAACCTCTGAAGTTTTGTACGAAAAACTATTACTCGCCGTTGAAGAAACCAATACGTTCGGTATTGAGTAAATAACATATTACTTTTTTGTAGTACTTACAAAAAGTACTTTTCATTTTTCAGTTTGTTGAAAATTTACTTTTTAAGAATTGCGTATTATCGCATTTTCCAAATGAGTTAATATTTAAATTATTTGGAAAATGATTTCTTAGTGACTTACAAGTTCTCTTCTTTGAGTCAGTATTTTTATAAAATTTGTTGGAATTATTTTTATACTGAGAAATTGTATTTGTAAGCCGTTAAGTAAAATTTTATTACTTACCAAATAATAGATTTTTGTACATAGATTTGTATAGAATAATAATTTATTTGTTTATAACGTTCTGTTAAAATTGGTTTAGTGATATTTATTAACAAATTATTTTTATAGCGAAGTAATACATTTGTGTTTTGAATAGAATAACCTTAAATCAGTTTTTAAGATAGTCACTATTTTGATATTGTCTGTTTTAATTTATTATCGCTATAGTTGTATTAGTTACCAATGATTATTTAGATTAGTTTGTTAATTTAGGATTGTAGTTATTATTGTCTGAAATTATTTATTTGTGGCATTATAGTTGTGTTTAATTGGACATCTTGTCACGTCAGAGAAAATTGATAATTACGGGCACAACCTTACCCAAAAGATTAATTGAGAGTTGCTTTATAAGCATTTGTCTCAATGTTTTAAATTAATTAGCAACCACCGTGTGTATTTTTCAGAGTGAGGCTTCTTCACTAGGCAGCAGAAGTTCATAAAAAGCCTGACTAATCTTTCTGATATAAAGATTTCTTAAACATTTTATTACTTTTCTGATGTGACAAAAGACTGATTAATTAAAACTATTAGGAATACAGTGTTGTGATTTATATAATTCTAGTCAGTAAATATATATTGCAGTTACTTGCACAACCATTTATGGTAATGTAAAGCCTATAATAGAACCTAAATTTTCACTCAATGACTTGTTTCAAAAAGCAAATATGATCTGTAACATTCCAGAAATAAATATTTGTTACAAAATAATGTTTTATTGTGTATTGTCGTGAAGCATGATCGTTTGTATCGGTCACGACGGCATGGGCCCTCGGTGGAGATCTCGGGAGTTCTAATCGAGACCCACGTTGGGCGCCATGTCGAGGATTATGATCTGTAGTGCCTAATATTTGAGAATTGTGATCGGGATGTTGTGTTCGGTCGGCATGGGTCCTCAGTGGAGACATCGGGAGTTCTAATCGAGCTCCACGTTGGAAACCATGTCGCAACCTGTGATCTGGGATGTTAGTTCCCTTGACCGGGTTCCGCGGCAGGAACGCACGGAGTTCACGGGGATCGTCGCTATCGACGCCCGGTCGCACTATATTCTCTGACGATTGGAATCTGTGGTGGATATGACCTACAGACGTGGTGTCTAGGACACGAGCTCGCGGGGGAGATCTCGACGAAGAAGGTCGAGCTCCGCGTTGAGCGTCGTGTCGGGTTAGACTTTCTTGATATGGACCACTTAGGCGATGATCGTATGTTCGGGGGAAATCATGAGAATGGACGGGCGACGTACAAGTATTGTTTTGATAAAAAAGGCCGGCTTCGTCACCTATGACGTAGTCGGCTAAGGGGTTTTCGCTTACTATGGCACCCGAACGCGATGCGCATTGCTCCCGCTGGATACCACTTCGTAAAAAAGCTGAATGAACTGTAGCGTCGTCACCGACGGCTAGCTCACGTTCCGAAACACCCGACCTCGGAAGTAGGCCGCTATCGGGGCCAGACCGTGAACCGTGGTTGGACTCATGGGATTCCCCGGACCCTACCAGTTGGTACGTAGGTTGAACCTCGTCCCGAGTATCTGTGGGTGACCCACTTCGTGGTAACTCTTGGTTGCTACTCGGATCCGCGAGTGCGTCGTGAGGGGTGGTCGAGATGGTGCCAGTAACTCGCGTAGCAGCGGACCTCAACGCGTACGGCGCTGTGGCTGCGCCGTGCCGCGTACTTCCGCGAGCCACCATCTTCGGTCCCTCAGACTCTTCGCGGAGCATCGATATAGCGTTGGCAGGAGAGGCCATTTCCTCTTTCACCCCGAATGTCGAGAGATCTTTCGCCGGCAAACAGGTGTGAGGGCAGTTCGTGTGACCGCTGGTCTCTCCGATTTGGGACGAGGTCTCGTCCAGCTCAGTCTTGATCATACTCACACGATCTAATTTATTATTCGTAGTATTACCTTCGAGGGCACCAATCCTCGTAGCACTGGATTTCGTAGTCGCGTCGCAGGGGTTCATCTTCCCCGTACGACAATGTCGGAGCAAGCTCTTTTGCTCCGAAAGTCTTGTAGACGTCTTGTAGTAAGCACTGACTCTACTATTAAATGTGGGTCTCTCGAGGGAGCCCTAGAAGTAAGGATAACTTCTTTACTAAATTTGGAAGTACGCCGCCACAATAACGTGCGTACTATTGCTTTGTGCCCGTAGGTCACAAAGTAAATGCCTCGTAGGGGTTTGACGAGGAAGGTTGCCTCGACGAGTGACCGCCTAGAAGTTTGACGAGGAAGATTGCCTCGGATTTGCAGATCTCAATGGAGTCTGAATTGTAGGTCTCGTAGGAGCCTATGTGTGTACTTTGTACCGAGGTGCGGGTCTCTCGATGGAGCCGGCACAGTCGGAATCAAAGTCTTCGTCGGAGGGTCGCAAGCCTCGGACGGTATGCAGGTCTCTGGAGGAGCCTGAAAGTATCGCTGTTTCGTCGCAGGGGGCGATCGAACAGGATCTTCGCCTCAGGTTGGGCTACCTCGGGCGGGACGCAGGTCTCTGGAGGAGCCTGGAGTATCGCTGTGTCGATGCGAATGGCTATCGCACAGGATCTTCGTCGGAGGTGGTCAGTCTCGGACGGTTTCGCAGGTCGCAAGTGGATCCTGGAGTTTACCGCTGTTTCGATGCAGGGGGCTATCGAACAGGGTCTTCACCTCAGGCTAGGCTACCTCGGGTGGTTGTCTCGTTAAGCGAGTAGTGGTTGCAAAGCACTATTAATATCACGTCGAGGAATGGCAGCCTCGACGGAAGCCTCGTGAAGCGAGCCTGTGAGCTTGAGCTCCAAAGTTCTTGAGCTTGATGACAGGGTTTTTTCAATCAAACCGTGGAAGATATGTTAAAAGTATATATTGAATAAAATTAATAAACAACAAAGATTCACAATTAACATATACAAGTTATTTACCATGAATAAGATTTGTTACAATTCGCTCTGTATCGCTTTCCGTCTCATGTACTCCCACTGAAGTACTGTAAACGTCAAAAGTAGACGTTCGATCACTTTTGTGGGATTTCCATACTTTTGGCGGACCGGGCCTTGAATTGTCCGCCAAAATCTCGAACCAAAATCATCCATCGTCCCCATCAACGCCGGGACTCGTTCCCCTCTGGCCTCTACGGATTGTCGATGTCGGCGTCGGGGATTTTGGAGTTTTTTCCCGGTTTGGGAAAAACTCTACCCGCGGTCTCGGCTTAGGCTGCCGAGCATCGCATCCAACCGCCAGAGCGGTGGAACCTTCGGAAGACGGTCCTTTCGGCCCAAAGACGGGGAAATTGGAAACATCGGTGAAATTTTCCCCGTCTTCGTAAAAGGGCTTACGGAGGTCTTATTTCTTGATGGATTCATTTGAAATTTTGTCTGTAGATACACGGCATGACATAGTGCCGTGGTTGGAGGGTTCGACCGAGATCGCGCGGATACTTTCGGCGGCAGCTCTAAAGGCGTGAAAACCTATTATGGCTTAGCTGGCCGTTAGTAGTCGGGCGATTCGGTTCGAATTTGGATATGACAACCACCTAGCGATACTCTAGTGTGGTTGGAGGGTTCGGCCGAGATCGAATGAGCGGAACGGCTGAAAACGCGGAAAACGTGAAATCCGCGTTTCCCCGTATAACGGCGTTTTGGCTCATCCGATTCGGACGAAAATTTAGTAAGATAATGCTAGCGACTTGAGGAGTGCTGCATTAAATTTTGACACCGATCGCTCAATAACTTTTGGAGTTATTGGCGATAGCGTCCTTGACCAATTCAAAAGGGTGGTGAAATTTCTAATGGCCATTTCCAAATGTCATCGTGAAGCGTCCCGGGGTTCGACTGCAGGTTGCGAGAGCAGCGGCAGTGGTCACTGCGCGCCGGGATGGCAGACCCAGGCGAGATCGGTCGCGATGCGGGTGACACTGGAAAGGTCGGTGAAATTGGTCTTTTACGCTCTGGGAGCGCTATCGCCGTGAGGATCGATGTCTGAAGACTCTCATGGAGGCTTTTTCATTCTGCCCGGCCGACGGCGATTGATTTCGCAACCGTGGCGGGTTTTTGGTTTGAATTGGAAAGGTAGGTGAATATGATTGTTTCGCCTCCTTTTCAATTCAGCGGTCTCCGGCATATCCGTAGGTACAAGATTATGACTTCCATGAATATACGGGGTGTTCTGAAATCCTGAAGCTCGCTCGAAGGGTGGAATACGACAGTATCCCTGCGCAGTAAAATTTGCCAGTGAGAAAATAAAAAGTTCATTACTTTTGAAAAAATGCTGCTGACTAAATCATTTTTTTCTATATTGTAGTATGTGCCAGTAGGAACTTGTAATGTTTTCTGGGTGGCATCAAGAAGACAATGAAGTTTTTTGACATTCCCGGCATACATTAAAATAAACAAGAAAACCTTATATGACATGGGTCCTAAACTAAAAAATTTGCGAGAAAAAAATTATCAAAATCTGCAACTTGATGTACAAAAGTTTAATTAATTAAGGAATACTGACATAACTGCGTGCATAGAACATCATAAGATACAATGTTTATCGCTTTTTTTAACTTCTTTATGCTTAATTCTAATAAATTTAAAATTCGATAAAATACATATCGGGCAATGTGACAACGGCACGGCGGATAACACGAGGTACTAAACAGTCCAACAATACGCAATTCGGTTGGTATCTGGAATTCAACCGTGACGGAGTGTTTTTTGTATACCACTATTTATTTTTCTTTCCAAAAGGTTTCATATCTTCAATCCCCCAGAGACGGCCATATTCGCCAAGGATGCAGTTTTCCAATTTCTACAATTAACCTGAACATGCATCAGATCACCTTGCGGAATCTACCCAGCCAGAGTATATGTACTCAACCGAATCTCAAATATTATGCTCGCACCATGGCTTGAAATTGGCCTCAATGATTTGGGATCGAGGGGGATTATCCCTCTTTATTCAGCCTCATCTCATGTAGGCCTGGACAGCCTTCGTAGGTGGGCCCCATCCGTCGTCTACCCCGACCGCAAATGCGGCTGGTGTACGCGCTTTGTGGGACCTTATTTTGTCCTGGCTGGACCCCGCACGGCCCTTTCTTCTGGCGCCCTTCTTGCTTCGCCGGCTCGTCGGTGTAAACCCCGGGGGTGGTGTCATATTTATGTGTGGTATGGTTGGGTAGGATAGTGCGGCTATGCAGCCTGGGATGCGCTTTGCTAAGGTGTCCCTAGGCTAGTGCGGTTGAAGTACCACCTTTATAAGCGCGCGCCATTATTCCATGGCTAGAAATTGGCCTCAATGATTTGGGATCGAGGGGGATTATCCCTCTTTATCCTGCCTCATCTCGTGTAGGCCTGG